CTTACATCAATACCGATTATAGACCTAAAACATGGTAACACCCATATCTCGGTAACCAGAAGGTACTAACCCAATCCCAATACAGATTTAGATCCGCCGCGAGAAGCTCTACAAAACCTGATATATAGCTTTCTGGTTCGACATACTTTTGAAATCCGGCAGGGTCCTTTTCAAGATGCCAGAATCTACTTTTTTCGGGGCTGTTCGAAAAATTTCAATATCTCAACAACGATACAACTTTTTGATTTGTGTTTATTAAAATGTTTGGTCTACAAGAGCCCTTAGTTTGACAAAGTTTTGAGAACATTGAGAAGGCTACTCTGCTGTAATAGATCGTGGCTCACGTGCAATGGCTCATGAGGAAATGACTAGTGGATAAAAGATATAGAATTAAATTTGCTACATATTAGTCTCTAGACATGTTTTTAGAAAGCTTTTTCTTCACAGAAAAAAACAAAATAACGACTCTCTGTTCCAAATTTTAATTTTTCATAATTCTTAGTCTTTCCCTGTTAAGAAAAAGCTTTCCAAAAACATGTCTAGAGACTAATATGTAGCAAATTTAATTCTACATCTTTTATATCCTCTAGTCACTCCCTTATACAAGTCGATCTTCCGTGTGCAAAATCATCAAACCCCCTTTTTCTGCTTGAAAACAGCCTTCCAGAAAATTCGAATCAAGCAGAATTAGAGAATAGAATTTTGTACCTATCATCTGCAAGACTCGAATCTCTGTAGCTTTTGGAGTACATTCAAAAACCTTAATTACTGTTAATTAACGTGTAGAATTAATTAAAAAATTAAATTTTTAAATAAAATGGAAAGACCGATGTGCATAATTTTTTGTGTGAGATAAATATCGTTTACCTGAAGAAAGAAAAAATTCTAAAAATTTACTTGTTAACAGAATACGTTAGCCATAACAGGGACATGCCTAAACTTAATGTAAGGAAAAACTTTATGACAGGTAATTCGCTGCAGGGAAAATTAGCTTCGGAAATCTTCTTCATCAGCTGTCATCCACTTATACCTTCACAATTCTTGGTTTCACACTTGTCAAAATTATACAGTTTGGAGGCGAAGAACGAAAAATCATCGGCACTTAAAAAGAGCTGCTTTGATGCGGTTCTCAAAATCAATATAGCAAGGCGCGTTTTTCATTGCAGATCAAATAACTCTAGCAATTTTTTCTCTTTCTCACTCATTTTTTATTTCAAAGTAGAGAAATTTCGATTGTCACTAGTATCAATCATGTTATACTATTATTTTCGGGTATCAATCTTTTTGATCAACAAAACAAGATGCTTTTGATCATCAAATTTTTCAGCATGCATTTCACATTTTTATTTCTCAACGAAGTATAATGCACAACACAAACAAGATAATAATATAAACAAGAAATGCCTTGTTCGTATGATTAGTCTTGCCATTTATCATTTTCGAAAATTCTATCTTTGTAGATATCTTAATAACTCCTCTAAAAATATAACTCATTTAAAGATATTATATGTGTTCCTCTTTCTAACGCGATTATATATATGTTTCGGAGCGTTACAATGGAAAAAAAGGACAAAATTTTATTACATGGTGTTTTTGTTACTTTATACGGTGTTATTGGAGCTTAGCGTGACCAAAGCGTTTTAACTAAGCGGTTGATTCGTGTTTCAAAAATCAAATTCGGTTCGGTTTGATTCCCCAAATAACCGAATGTCAAATAATTCGCTTCGCTTCGGACTCTGGTTTGGGTCGAGTTAAGCTCGATGTGATCTTTGACGGTGATAATGTCGCTCGTCAACTGGCTACTTTCATCAAAAGTCAATTGAACAATAGTGATTCAGTACTCGTAGCTGGTTCATCACTGGAAGTTCTGTTTTCCTATCGTTTTATTCTTACTGCTAAAGAACAGGGGTGGATCCAGGATTTTTCCCGCATAGGGGCGGATTCAGGGATGGCGCGACCATTGATGTGTGCGTAAAAGGGAGGGTGACCCACATCTAATAATCAAAAATTTTTGTACAGTTGGAGATGAAACAAAGGGATTTTCGCAAGGGACGGAAAATCGGGACTTTGTGAGAAAAGCCAATTTTACTAGTAATCATGGAAAAAATTGCTTCGCGACAAAGTGTTATGTGCATGTTCGTATGGCAAAGCCATCTGAACTTATAATTAAATTTTTTACTGTTGGTCAGCGCTCTTGTTATCTGAGCCCCTTCGTATATTGAACCTGTTCCGTTAGAACTCGCCTTCGGAGAATATAGCATAGCATTTTTCCGAAAATTGTATAGTTTAGTGCAGACAGCCTTCACTCTAAACGAGTATTCAACTCGCATCACGGCCATCCGATAAAAATGTTCACCTTCGATATCAATGTTTGACGTGTTTTTACGTATTCTGCTTGTGAAAGTGTTTTTTAACTATCGAAGAAAATTAAAAATTCTTTTTCAACCAACTTCTAGAGCATAGCTGTCTTCGGTGGCAGTAGATTCAGAATTGCTTTCGAATAAACACGATCCTTCAGTGTTTCCTTAACGAAAAATCAGATATAACCATCATCCACAAATTGGCAATTCAAGAAATTCAAGAAATGCGGAAGATTCAAGCAATTGAGCAAAGTCATATGACACATTGAGTTACAAGCTTGAACTATGACGGAATTTAAGCAATTCAAGAAAATCAAGTAATTGAAGGAAATTCTAGAAATTCAAGTAAGGTCATATAACCTATTGAGTTATAAGCTTACGATGTAATGGAATTCAAGGAATACAAGAAAATCAAGCACTTCAAGAAATGCAAGAAATTGAAGGAAATTCTCGAAATTTAAGAAATTAAACAAGCTCATAAAAGGTATTCGGTTATAACCTTGAACAATCATGGAATTCAAGAAATTCAAGAAATTGAAGGAAATCCAAGCAATTGAACAAGGTCATGTAACCTATTGAGTTATAAGCTTACTATATGAAGGAATTCAAGAAAATCAAGCAATTCAAGAAATTCAACCAGCTCATAAAAGATATTGAGTCATAACCTTGAACCATCATGAAATTCAGGGAATTCAAGAAAATCAAGAAATTGAAGCAAATCCAAGCTATTTAACAAGCTCATATAACCTGTTAGGTTATGAGCTTACGATATGAACTATCTAAAAGGTTTGTTTTCACCTATTATGGATGAATGTTACTAGACGCTTAATTAGAAGAAAGTTACAACATAAAGTCAACTTTTCGTGGACAATTGACTTTAAAAGATTCAGTCACTCGATCGATATCGATGAGTAGACTGAAATGGATGAATACAAGAGTAAGACTGTTCAGGCGATCTTGACTAATTATAAAATGTGAGTACAATTCGAGGTAGCTTGTGAACTAGTTTCAATGAAATATGTTTATTTTTCAGAGTAATATGTCATGTTATAGAGTTTTGAAAGGCTTCGAAATACATTAATCTAGATGTCTTTCACCTGGTATAGAAAAGTATGTACATCTTTTATATGGGGCCTGTTTTCTGAACCATAAGGCAATCATCACTCCAGTGTCACGGAGTTTAGTACGACTACGTTCCTACGATAACTTCTCTAGTAAAAGTCCTTTGAGTTTCCTGACAGGATCCGGGGCATATCCTACTAGAATTTCATTTTAATTTCTTAGGATCCTAACAGAATCCTACAGAAACCTAATGAAATCATGTATACCCGAAAGTTATAGGATTTTTTAAGCTTCTGTTAGAATCCTAACAAACTTAAGCGAAATCCTAGTATGATTCTAGCATTTTAGGATCCTGCTAGAAAGTTGTCATGTGCATCCTAAATGTTAGGACCATGTGAGATGCTAGTAGGAAATAGATAGGAAGTAGGGAGGATTTTGTCTAGGGCTATGAAGAAGTACACTTCGGGGCTGCCTGTTTCTTTCTTTTAGTTCAGAAACTTTGAGTTTTCTCGTGAACTTGTGTATTATTTTGTATTAACAATACTCATACAAAAGTCATCAATATAATTCTATTGGAAATTTTTGAGACACAACCGGATTTTCCAAAGATCTCCTAGAAAGCCTGTTTAAAAAAAACCTTCCGAAAACATGTCCCAAGTCTCCTCTTTCAAATGGCGACAACCAGAGTTTTCTATCAAAAGTTATTCCAAAAAGAACCATATGCATTGCTTTTCCCTATGGATAGTAGTAGGATGTTGCATAGATGTAACCGGTCAAAGTTTTCTCGACCGGGCCGGTAACTGGTCGAAAAATTTCTAACCGGGCCGGCCGGTCATATATTTTCCTAGTGTGGAAGTGTAAAAGCCTAACGACAGAGGAGTGCTAAGGCTTCTGGAAAAACGTCTATATCTCCCGAACCATGGATTTCCAACATGTTCCTTAGATCCAGTTTTGTAGAGCACACTTTGGACTATATATGTATGAAAAGAAGTCCATAGTTTTCTATATCAACTTCCAGAGAACTGAACTGGTTTTCTGCAGATTTCCTGAAAAAACGATCTTTGAAATTTTTCCAAACTCGTTTTTGCTTATGAAAACATAGCCTCAGATCTTGGCTAGCGAATGATGAAAACCGCAAGTCTCTGTCTTTTATTCCTCTTGAGTTATTCAAAAAATAACCACACGCCCTGTATTTTAGCTCCGATAATAGTGCAACAAATATTAAAAAAGAAGGAAAAAGGAACGGAATATTCACATAGTAGAGATTAACAGTCCTGCTCTCGATGACTGTTGACAAAACAGAGAAAACTAGACCAACTTTCTTAATCTGAAATATGAAAAGCTTTGTTTCACTTAGCTCAGCAAATTCGTTTTCGACAAAGTACTGATTGTTCAGACAAAAAAACATTTTTTTTCACGACCGGCCGACCAACCGGGCCGGTAGAAAAGCGAAATTATCATGCTGTAGTTTAAAAGAATTCAACTACAAAAATGAAATGCATAAATAATCAGTTCTAATATGTTCAGGATATAATTTTTCAACAGTCACATCGTTTATTTCTCTTGAAAGAATTTTTTTTACATTGTCTGTTGATGATAATTTTGTTTTAAATTTGCTGTTGTTGTTGTTGTTGTTGTTGTTGTTGTCGATGATGACGAGGTTGTTCTTCCAAGTATTGATGATTGTGCTTTCAATTTATAACCGTGCAATATTTGTCTTAAACTTTTCAATAAACGTTTATTGCATAAAAATCCAATGCATAAATAAACACCGGGCATCGAATTAACACATTCGAATATAATCCACATCCATTCGTATCTTAATGTTATACTTAAAATTAATAATAACCAATTTAAACCCATCAATGATGCCAAACGAACGTATACTATTAAATGTATTTCACTATTAGAATTATTACGAGCAAATTTAGTTATTTTATTAGTTTTTCGAATATTATAAATTGTTATTATAAATAAACAGAAAATAACGACAAGTAAACATCCAATAGGAATGAGAAAAAATGTAATCATAGCATTAGGCTGCGATATTGAACAAAAAATTTTTCCATATTCAGGTGAAAATGAATTTGAATAATTAGTAAAGTGAAGTATAATCGAGATGAACACTATCACAAAACTAAATAACCAAACAAACATATTGTAATAAAGAAAACGTTTAGATACTTGATTTGAATCTTTTACTGTCATTTTTCCAAAAGTAATCCACAAATCGAATGAGATGGCTGTTAACCATGCAAACATGGCTATATAGAAATAATGAATAATAATACCGGAAAAAATACAAAATTGTGAATATTTTATAAGATCGGCGGTTGTAATAAAAAATAATTGTGCTATAAATAAGGAAATAACTAATAATAATAAACATTTACCGGGAATATTACGTAATAATGGTACAAGCGAATAAATAATAACACATAGAATTAAACTTGTTAACGAAATAATTGTACAAACAAGTGAGAGAGTAGTACGATAGAATGGAAATAGCGGTATCATTTTATCTTGACATTGATTAAAAACAATAGTCGAATATTTTTCACTACAGACTATAAGTATATCAGATGATTCGTATAAATAATCTTCTCTATTTATTTGTATCGAAAAATTTTCAAATAGAATACTTCCATTATTCAATATTTTAACAGAATTTTTTAGAATTCGAACAGGTATTTGACATTTCATAGCATTAATAATATCTTGATGAATATTCGACATTGTCGAATAATCATGTCCAAATATATCATACACTTTATTTTTATTAGTACATGAATATTCGGTAGAATATTGCATCCGTTTACTCAATAAATCTGAATCAAACAGAATGGAGAGTGGTTGATAACGGACTAAATGAGATGGCATAGCAGCTAACTGATAATAAGGACCATTACATGTATCAGTATTATTATTAATAAATGTTCTATTTTGTTGACAAAGAAGACAATATTCATTTCGATATGTGATGATTTGATTTGACTGTGTTATATTCAAATAACGATAGGCATTTATTGAATTACATTTGAATGCAAGAGATGAATTATTTGGACAAGTATTTTGAATAAATTGTTTACATGGTCGAATGAGCACTGATGGAATTAAACTACCATCATCAAACATTGGATAGTAAATCATTTTCATACAATTTTTTGTTAAATTTAAAAAACTAAAAAAGATCTCTGTTGTATTAACCATAAATTCATTGACATTCATTAGATTTGCATCACACAATGATTTGTATGACCATGACACAAGTGATTGAATATCATTGTTACAATAGGCACAAAAATAATTACGATAAGTGACATTTGTCTGAGTACTAGTAACAGGTATGAATAGTGTTGGATCATCGGACAATGTTTTTGTTCGATAACTTTGACATTGATTATCAGCTTTTGTACCAAAATAATTTGGTAAACAACGAACAGTCATCCAAACTGAAATTGTTAGACTATTTGGATCCACATCAGAATTATGAGAGAGAAAATCAATACATTCATAATTGGATACCTTTATAGAAGAATTTGATGTTTTAATATTTTCACAACAATCATCGTATGTTAAACATAGATTATCGCAAAAACAATTTCTACTTTGAAAATATTGTGCATCATTAAATATTGAAGTAGATCGACTAATATCATCCTGTGTACATTCATCTCGTCTGGAACATAGTTGAGAATTAATGAGTCGAAAAGTTGAAGTTAAAATAAGAACGAATATTATGGTAGACATCTTTGAAAATAAAAAAATCATGGTACGAGTTAATTAAACTTTCATATATTAAAACAGGTTTGTTATCTGTATGACAACAAATAGAGTCAACTTTTTACTATATGATAGTTAGAAATGTTAACTATCAAACTCAAACAGTATTCTCTGTCATTATGCGTAGTGTTGACTGTCATAATTGAAAAAACTGAATAGAGCATAAACTTGGTTGTGATGTTGTTCACGTTTCTCTTACAAAAAAATAAAATATAATCAAATATATTACGATATGAATAATTCAAAGAAAATTGAAAGAAGTAAAAGAGCATATTTATTTAAAGATTGACAATAAGAAAAACATCTTCCTACCTTGATACACCTCTCCTTTCTGTCTACTGTTTAACTGTATGAATGACGCATATAATTTTGTGAGACAGACAAACTTTTTAGAAAAACGAGGCATAAAAAATTCACGTATAGCGATGTCAAGTTGTACAAGCAAAACGAATGCTAAATAGCAATACATTCGACCTTTTATCATTGATTTTTGACAGGTTTTCTTGTTTTATACCAATCAGGATCTTTTCTTATGTTGATCCTAGACAGTAAACTATCGCCCATGTCAATAGTTAACGCCCACTCAGAAACCGCTAGTTAACTGTCACCAATTTTTCACCGTTTTCCTTTGCTCTCGTGGCAACGTTTTGTTTTCACAAGAAAATTCAAGAAGCTAGTGAAAATCCATCTTAGTCGAAACTATCGATTTGTAGTTAACTTACTTTCATCAATCAAAAGATGAACATACAAAATCGATCCAAACTACTTCAGAATTCCAGCATAGACTATATCTTGTCTGCTGAATCTGATCCTGTAGTCAAGATTTCAAAAAAAAAAATATTTCCTTACTTCTACAGATTTCTAGAAAAGAATGTTTTAAATCCAAGTATTTTTTATTCGTTTTTAAAACTTTTGCTGAAATCTAGAATATACAGCAGCCAAAACGGAGTATACGTTGAAATTTTGAAGAAGTTTGGATCGATTTTGATTCAATTATGAATTTTTTAGTTTTCGATGAAAGTAGCTACAAATGGGTAGTTTCAACTAATATGGGTTTCCATTAAGTTCTTGAGTTTTCTTGTGAAAATAAAACGTTGCCACAAGACTCGTGATCATCGAAAACCTATGTTTGGAATTAATTTTAAGGTTATTTGAGCTAACTAGACTGAGATGGGTAAGTCACAGATAAATCTATACTAAGAGCCATGATGGTTAGAAACCTCCAACTTCCGTGCTTTTGTCGAGGACATTTTGGGCTATCTAACCATGCAATTTAAGTTAAAGTTTCGTATTGGCTTCGATATCTAATGATCTCTTCTTTTTTCACCCGTCCAGTACATCATCTGAAAATTCATTTTTAAATTCGTTTCATTCCTTCCGTTTTTAGTAAACGGCAAAAGCACGATTGGTTATTGAGAGAACATTATTGTGAAACGGTTTGTTAATGATACAGTTTTTGACGATCTGACCACGGTGTCCCTTTCCATGTTTACTGTCAACTACCGTAGCTGTGCGGATGGGATAATTTCAAAGTAATTTAGGCGAACAGGCTGTTAAACTCAAAAGAATCGTTAAGAGAGCTATAATATTGAAGATCTACATTCTTTCACTCTTGTATGCCTGTGGTCAAACAAATGACCATGACTACATTTTATTACATACTTTGAAATATATTCATTCTGATTCTCAATAGAATGTTTATCGAAATACAATCTATCTAATTTATTGAATAACAAAAAACTAAATACTGAAACTAATTTTTGAATTTAGAATATCACTTGTTTGTCGACATTCACGAGTCGTGCATCATAAATTTAACAAATTGTTGAAAATTCATTCCGGTTTGTGTTACACATTGTCGAATTTGTTGATATTCATTACTGTCGTTTACATCAAAAAATTTTATTAAATTATCTAAATCGTGTTGTGTTATCAAACCATCTCCATCATAATCAAAATATTGAAATGTTGACTTCAATTCTAGGTCTAAATCTGATGAGGTAACATGTCTCAGCATTAATTCACGATATTCATAGATATTTAATCCAGATGAATGTTCATCACCCGTTTGTTCCCTAACTACTGTACGTAATAATTCAGCTGACTCTTGGACATCTAATTCGAGACCTTTAATAATAAATATCAAATTTGAGTACTGATTTTTTAATTATAGAACTGTGAAAGAGAATGATCTGATTACGAACAAGTCAATAAATTGAAAGAATCACGATTTGTGTCGCAAAAATAGTAATATAAACTCTTACCAATTGATTTTGCCACATAATTGAAATCATCTGTTCCTACAGATCGATTTTCATTTCGATCAAGAATAAAAAATGCTTCTTCTACGGCACGTACAAATTCTGTCTTCTCTTTAGACATGTCAAAGTCATCTAACGTAACAAGACATTGAATTGAATTTAAACTGTTATATATATCTCTGACAAAAATGCTTAGATGGACGAAAAAGACAACAGATGAAGTTAGGTTCCGCACATGCATGTGTAAACACTTCTTTACAGTTATAGGTATAGGTACATATGAGGTTCATCATAAAGAAAAAGAGAAGAAAAGAAATTTATTCTGTTCTCTTTCTATTATAGAGTAGCCTACTACATTGTCTATCCATAGCCAAACTGTTCACATATTCAGACACGGATGTCGATCAAAATTTTGCAGCGTATAGTGTAAAAAATCGATAATGTGTGACAAAAATTTTAAGAGTGGTATGATGATAGGTTAGTGTGACATATTTTCGAACATGTGGAAGCAAAAGCTGACTAACTGGGGTAGATCTGTACTGGAATTTTTTTTTACTGTGCAACGATAAAAATTTTCTACATGTGGCAAAAAAAGTAATGAAGCCAGTAGGCGTTATTAAAATAACTGTTTTCAACTTCTTTGGTGGCGACGGCTTGAAAATAAATTAACGCGGCAATATTTCTCTGTATATATTCAGCTGCAATAAGAGACAAAAGATAGTTTATTTGATCATCGAAAGACTTTAGAATGTATATCATCAATTTTTTAATTAAACTATAACTTATAGACGATAGTCGGATCATTGGTAGTACTATCCTTCATAGATGGACGTATTCTTTTAAAAATTCATACTGGAGGCATACTTTGTCATCTTTTTGTATTTGCAAAACAAAATCAGCTACGACTGCCTAAAAAACAGCAACAAAGCAGGTAAATATCGATAATCTATGCTGACCATATTTAACATGCATTTATCTATTCTATATTTTTGACAATTAAGACAATTAGTTTAAATTTTATACTGATCGTATCAGTAGGAACCATGAAGATAGGCGTGTACTGTCAGTCTAACTGACTTTTGTATTTCATCAGAGGAAAAATTCCTAATCTATTTTTAATAATGTTCTTTGTATACAAGTAGCGATGCGAAACAAAAATCTCGTTCTTTGAACAGGAAAAATCATGTTTTTTCTTGCAGTGTTAAAATAAGACTGATAAATTCGTCCGTTTTTAAATGAGAAAAAAAAGTAAGCGTGATTCACTAATTCTGACTTTTAAATGATAGAGTGCGTAGCTCCAGTTGTCAATTAATATTTCCAATTTTAACAACACTTAATGCAAATAGCAATAAATATGTTCAACATGTGATTCGTCTGTACGGTCTCACATCAAATGTAAACAGACAATTTTATCTTATAATATATCTGTTAAATCGTTAGTTTGATAATGCATCAAAACCAAGGTCTACTACAATGTTTATCATAGGGTCGAGAAATGGGTGACATCTATTGGACTGAGATTCTCCTATTGCTTTTCTTATATGTTTATTAATTATAGAAATATGTTTTGTATCAATTTATCGTCTTGTACAACAAGCATGGTACGATATATTATAAGGGACATACGCGTATGCTACTGATGGCATATGCACATGTTGTTTATGTGACGATATGCGCAGTATTCGGTGAATCGATTGGGCTTAAAATAATTGTCTCTCAAATTTCTTTCCTCGCTCTATACTGTTAATAAAAGCGACAATCGAAAACATTCAGAGAAACACTAATATTTCATCAACAAATAAACAAAGAATAATTATTGTCAGGAAGTGACAGTACCTTTCAGCATAATTAGTTGTAGAGAGAGATGGTTCTAATAATTGTAATTGTGTATGTAAATTGCTCCCTTGACTGTAAGCTAAGGATCATAAAACGTAAAATGTCTGTCTGCCACAAGATGGCGGATGCATAGAAAAGAAAGAAAAATAATTCCTTCAAAGAGAAAACTCTTTTTGACCTGAGATGTGAATTATTTACAAAGATAATCCCGTTAGCATGATACTATTCTATTACTTACGAGGGGACCTCGCGAACTGTCACATCGCTTTTAAAAGCCAAACCTAGTGGGTCACAGGTTATCAACTATGCTAAATCCGAATATCATAGTGGTAGCTGCCCAGGGTCCTTCAGAGAACGGTTTTCTGGAAAACCAGTTTTTCAGAAACTCCAAAAAGTACCCAAAACCTTTCTTAAAGAGGCATGATTGTAGCCCGCAAATTTCTGATTAAAATGAGACATCTTCCGGCTCTACATGACCTTTGTTTACAGAATTTACAAGAAAAGCCCTAAATGTTCATTGTCAGCTCAAAGCTACAGAAATTAATTTAGGGCTTTTCTTGTAAATTGTATAACCTTGCAAAGAAAGGTCAAGTAGACCTAGTAGATGTCTCATTTTAATCAGAAATTTGCGTTCTACAATCATGCCTCTTTAAGAAAGGTTTTGGGTACTTTTTAGAGTTTCTGAAAAACTGGTTTTCCAGAAAACCATTTTCTGAAGGACCCTGGGCAGCTACCACTATGATATTCGGATTTAGCATAGTTGATAACCTGTAACCCACTAGGTTTGGCTGAAAAAGCGATGTGGTAGTACGCGAGGTCCTCTCGTAAGTTTAATTCGACAGGGAGGAGGTAAAGGATAAGAATGAGGGACGGATAAGGAGGTGAAGGTATCTGGAGATATATGAAGGTACGCTTATATGAAGATTTCATCCACGTTGAGGAAGCGGATTTCACAGCGGATCACCCATTTTGGTCTCACGCCTAAGTGTAGTCAAGAGAAAAAGTCTAAGATGTTACAGGAAAGAGTTGACATTTAATCTAACAAAATTCGGCTCTTAGCTATCTGGAGGATCCCTTAGAAACTCTTGGACTTTGAGCTCTCTTTCGCATTTGGAAAGAAACATAAACACATATCACCATTATTAAGTCTCCCTGATGTCTGAAATCTTGACTCATGAGCATTGTGTCGGTTCAGCGCTTCGGAGATGAGCGTTACTAGTCACTCAGCTATTAGTTATAGTCAAGGGGTTAAGCCAGTTCCAGCGAGCGTTATTTGTGGTTAGAAGCAGGAGAACTAACAACAACGTACGTTTGTACACTATGTCATCCGAATGAATCGAAATCATGTAAGAGCAATGGATGGCTTGGTTTAAAAGATATTCTAAAGGTAACTTAATAAACACACGACAAAATCCACAACTTCATTAATCCGAGTTACTCAAGATTAATCAGTTTAAATAATAATAATAAACTGTTGATGACTAATACAGGATAAAAATCCGCATTTGAAGATCAAATGACATCATTCACAGGAAAGTGGACAAAGAACGTCTCACAAGCACCTGATGGTATCCTTACAAAAACGACCTGAACAAAAACAATCGTTTTTCTATGTTTGTATGAATGGCTCGGGAAAGGATCCAGAAAACATCCTTGAAACAAAACTCTTGAAGAAGGAACAATCTCATCTTTTCATCTGTTTGAATCTTCGATCAGTAGTAGTTCGGATTTTAGTTCTCGTTGACTAACTAATGAGACTAATTTATCAACAATTCATGCGCGACATAGTTCTCGTTATATCACTTGAACACATTTAAAACAATTTGATAAACTGGTTAGTTAAACACAATCATCGGCATCTGTTAAAAAGCAATTGATCAGTGTCACAATAATATCGTCAATTAGTACATAAAATAGCAACAGTAATTCAGACATATTTTTGGTTGACAGAGCACGACTTACTTATGGATTATAGTGCTCGAAAAGCTTATAGCATAACTTTCTTTTTCGCCTTTTCCTTGATCAAGATAGCGAGAACTGAAACACTTTTGTCTTAGAAAATATGTGTGTATAGTAGTTTTATAATACCATCAGAAATCGGATCTCAGAAAAATCCAAATCCGAAAAACCAAACATCTGGGCTCGATCTCAGACTTTTTTTCTAAAATAATCAGCACGATGATTTTCTTCTTATGGCGACTTGACATTTTACGGAAAATGAAGTGTAGTTTAAAAACAAAACATCGTACAGAGTTTGGAATGATTTTGTTCAGAAGTGTTTCCTCTCTATATGTCTGGACATTCAGCCTTTTCGATTTAAATTTTTCAGTGACCTGATTTCTGGTAGTGTAATAAAACTAGTGTACACACATTTTCTAATAGAAAATTGTATCAGGTAATATGACAAGAACAATTGTAAACAAAATTGACGCCTCTTACACAAAAATGATTTTAGCAAATAAAGTGAATTTACCGGATGACTAAACCTCCTCCTCCTCCTGTTCCTCTGCACAATATATGCCCTGTAGAGGTAAACTTAATTAGTCCTCAATCGTCTCACAAACAAGACAGACAATTGATTGGTGGACAATACTAAACGAAAAAGTTTATAATGAAACATTGAAAATCACGAAAATGTGAATACGAATGCGGAAGCAGGTGGAAGAGAACATAAAACACGAGACGGATTCAGATGGTCAAAAGAGTCTATTTAAGAATGTAAATGATAAATATATAATCGACTCATGAAAAACGTTTGCTCTTGACGGTAATAGAAGGTAGTATAGAAAGAAAAACTCTTTTCAACTTAAGAATTGTCTTTTCTGTATGCGAAAAACTATTTATGCACATTTTTAGCTTTAAAGTTTCATTCAACACTGATATGGTTTTCCATATTATGATTGTATCGCCGAGGGGATTGACTTGAATGATTGATCAAAGTTATTTCGATCAATATGGTTCTGTCAATAGAAACATCAATGAATTGTGAAGTTTGTTATTTTAAAGGATTTTATTTCGTCTGTGTTTATTTTTTTCTCAATAAGAACGAACAATTATGCAAGTAGTACGAGAGTAGCTAAAAATAAAGCATATAAATAATAGACGGTTCAATGAATTTTTCTCATTAAATTTTATTTTAACAATCATGCCGACGTAGAGAAAAGGTGATATTGTTTAAATAACAGTTAATCAGTTCAATCCTATAGACATTTGTTGCCAGCATGAAAAAAAAAGTAAGAAGAACAGATGACGGTGATCAATAATGAATCGTTCGTTACTCAATTGATATAAAATTAAGATTGTCAGCAGCGGCGTCTATCCTCACCTGAATATTTGAGACATTTTGTACCACCTCGGAGGTTCGACCTCTCAGTGTACCACCTGAAAAATTAATTTCTACAGCAAAAAAGCGTACCACCTTACTCTTCTTTGAGGCATTGCATCTCAAACGTCCCGTAGGATAGGCGCCCCTGATCGTTAAATATTACTTTGAACAATTAGCAAACTTCATATCTGACATTTGATGAAATATGATGACGCATTTGAAAAAACCAAGAACCGAACATTTATACCGTGTTCATAAGATATAACAAATTATTTTATTTTATTCTAATAATTTATTTTAATGAAAAAAGCCAAGGCACAGAAATAAAAGCTGCATGACTAGAACAAATATGCAAGAGATAATACCACCATCACAAATAGATACTTGATTAATGTAAACGATAATAAAAGAAAAAACCTGATTTATGACTATAACAAACAATAACATATACACAACCACAAAAAAAGAAAGCGAGAGGTTATTTTAAAGACTACTTTTATATGTGCTTAATTTGTACTTTGATAATTTATGGTCTATTTATATATATATTGCATTTAGTCTCGATCGATTTAAGACGATTTGTATATCAGAAGAATAAACACAAAAGTATCATTAAGATTTTAAATGTGTATATATTGTATTTTATATTTCATAATTTCGAAATCGTCGAAGATACTCATTTGACGTTTCATCTGATTGCCATTCCGATGGTTTAGTGGAATTCATATTGTACGACATTTCCTTGTCGCTTTTTTCATCAACTAAAAAGAAAAGAAAAATCATTTCAACAATTTTATCAGTAAAAAAACGAACAACCAGTTGTATACATGAAAAGAGTTTAGACTTCATTGTTATTTTCATCTCACACGGTTTTCGTATATGATCCGACAAAGCAATCAGGATTTACTTGACACAGTCCAGAAGCTGAGAAGCTATTCAGATCAAGTCTGATAAATAATAGAGAATGGAGAGGGAATCGCTCATGAGATAAAAAAAATATCAGAGATCTTGATTCAAAAAAACCCTTTGTTGAGAACTGATTTTGATCTAAACGGAAAAAGCATTTTCATGCGCGTTGACACCTCTCAGTCTATCACTTTTTCTCATATAGTTTTTCTATTTTCTTGTTCATTCTATACGTAAAATAAATGTTAGAAAGTGCTGATATATCCAATAAAATAATTTTCTGACTCAACACTTTTGGATCTCTGTCAACTAAGTTAATATGATACCTAAATCTTATTCAAGTAATTGTAATCTATTAGTCAACTTTATGCAGTAGTGACTAGTTTGTTTGTCACCTTTTGAACTCTTTCATCATCACGCTTACCTTTGACCTGTGTTTTTGTCTTTTCAACATGAATTTCATCTTTCTGTACTTGTGGTTGTACATCTTCAATCATTGGCTCTTTTTTCGTAATAATCCAGTGGAAATTCTACAGAAAAAGAAGGATGAATAATAACAGTTGTTATGTGATCTTCTATTCTATTCTTTTCACACAAATTCCAAAAATCACTTATTTCCGCAGTGTTTATAATTTAACTACGTCTTATACATTAATGGCTCGAAGCTAATCTTTTATTTTCAACGGTGACAACGTATAGATACACGACAATATTATATGAACAGAAAACAGAAGAAAAAAATCCAATCTAATCCCCATACGTGCTTTTTTCAACGACATGTCACGGAATGGAAACATGTCGATATAAAATGATACCGTCTCTCACTGACTTCCGCATTAATAATCTACTCGAATGAATCTAGCCTTCAAAACATCCATCTCTCTTCAAATAATGACGAATATAAGACTTGCAAAACGTGATGTTAATGTATTTTATATTTGAATACTTCTGTTCACATTTGAATGAATTATTTTTTCGTCATCTTCGGTATTATGTACCTCTTTTTATAGTACAGTATACATGCGATGGAACTCGGATTAAACTGTTCAAAGAATGAGCAACAATCTGCAACTTTATCAGAGTAAAGATGAATGCATCGAGACCTAACTGTCTCATTATATATCGCAAGCATACTATCATCTTCCTACTACTAGATACATTAAGCTGAGTAAGACTTTCTGGATGACTGAAATAGTTTTTTTCTAGTTTTGGCGTAAACTTCATGTAGTTTTTTCATAGATAATTTTTTTCAAATTAGTTCTAACGAACTAATTTCAAAAAACACAACATACAATGGTAATGAGAAATTTTCAGACCTCTGGAGCAAGTATTATGTACTCTATAAAAATATCAACATGTTAAAATTATTCTTAAATTATAGTTCATCGTTCAGTGAGCTAATTATATATTATAGTCTTTTATCGGAGCAATATAAGCAAATAACAGACATAATTTTACTAATAAATCAATGGAGTGATCCTCCCTAGTATTTCTATTACTAATACTGATACTATTCTAGATTTATTATTGTTGTTTTCTTTTTTTAAAGTTAGTGATGTCATGTGAACATGTAAAAATGTAATTAAGCTAAAATATAGAAAAAACAAAATCAGTCTCTTTTCATCAAAACGAATTTGGACTCATAAATTTCTCGTTAAAGGTAGCTAGTGATACGTCTGCGTGTGTATATTCATCATCCCACAAGAACGTAAAATGTACAACAGAAATCTATAATGACATTTAAATTGCGTGTGTATGTATATGTAGGACCAATCAAAATTTTGTTTCAAGCTCAATTAGACATGCATTGATAATTCTTTTTGATCTTATTCTTTATTCTCATTCTGTAATCAACATAATCATAAAGATGAATAAACATCACATTACATACATATTTTCTTCTTTTCTCTGTAGAGCATGCATATTATTGGTTTATTTTCTTTCAATACATACACAGCGTCATTGGCACACAGGAAATATATATTCACTTAAAAAAATTTACAACTGTCAAATTATATAGATAGAGAGGTGTAAAATACATGACGTAATATTAGAATAGAAGAGACTAGAAATAAATGAATCATATATTATTCCACTAGAGATTGTCTTAAAGATGCTTATTAAAAAGTAAATGTACTTAACATAACCAGAGAGAACGTCTGGATATAGATTATTTTCAATTTTTTTTAATATTAACGGAGTTAAAGACCAAATACTTTTACTTTACTCATTATTTTGTTAGTTTTACGTAATGTTTAATGCATTTTTTTTGTTTTATCTGCGATATAAAGTGTCTTTAATTAATTGATACGCTTGCTGTTTCCATTTAAATGCTATAAAGTTTGGCAATATTTGGCTTATGCTGTCTTCAGCATACGATACATACATACAATACATATATACAATAATACAGCCAATAGATAGAGTTCGTCGAGTTGACCATCGACTAATATTTAGATGGATACTTAATAATGGCTACTAACAGCAGTGGCGGATCCAGCCCGAGAGGAGCACGAGCGGCCGCTCGTACCTTTTAACCAAAAAAACTGTTTTTTCCCAGCAGATCTCGCTTAGAATAATTTTTTCTATAACGGATCTCGCACTTTTATCGTATATCGCACCTACCAAAAATATAATTCTGGATCCGCCACTGACTAACACCCAAAGTCTAATCACAACACCGAAAATGACACAAGCTACACGCTACTCGACTCTCAATGCGGGATCACGTTTTTATATACTGAATTATAATACTGAAGAAGTGCTGACGTCGTCTTCGGATGTTGCGAGTGACTGTTAGGTGTTAGTATATTTTTTACAAATACAGATATTGTTAATGAAGAAACTTTCAAGCATTAACACTTTCTTTAAAAACATGGCGTTTTAAGTAAAGTGAATAGTTGATAATTGATGCTGATGCTGTCAATATACAACATAGTTTAGTAAAAACATACTAGTTGTATGATTTATGTTTTAATCTTTTAAGAATAGTGAAATAACAAATATAGATGCGCATGTCATTCTTTTGCTTGAAAAATCTCCGAAAACTCCAAGCAGTTCTTTACACTAAATTCACGTCTCTCGAAACAAACAGTCATGTGAATTTCGTACTACTAAGACGATTTTTCTCTAAGGAATCATATAGAAATGTAATATATCATATAATTCGTTCATAAAATGCAGTGAATTTACCATGATTTTTCTATTAACCGCTAAATTCTATTTTACTTGTTGTGAAAAACTTTACCTTTCATCAAACGAAGTTACTTATGTTATAATAATTCAAACACAATTAAAGAAAAAATTCAATTTCATTTTGAAAAGAATATGTTTTTCCTATTACAATAAAATCATAAAAATGAAAAGATCTAAGCCATGTGCTGTTGTAGATGATATTGAGCGAGTAAATAATTTAATCCTTTGTATACAAAGAAGATAAATAAAAACTTCATATTCGAGAGTCTTTTTAATTAAGAACTAACGTCTTCAATCTAATTACTACATAATTTATTTATCTTTTAGAGTCTAAATGAATCTAATATTGAAAATAAAGACAGTAATACTTTTGAAGATTTTCTAACAATGGAAAGAGCGCCGTGTATGTCAATTTTTCTGGTAAAAATGTGATATAGAAGGCAACGATAAATCTATTTGAATACCATTTTGTTGCTCTAGTAATTCCGAAAATATTTCAGATGAATATAGACCTTGATTATGTTGAAAAGCTCTCTAGTCATGAAAAAATTCAATTGAATATTTGCTGCATCAGAGAATTAATGACCTAGATTCTGCTGTTCCTAAATTCTGTCGATTTCGAAATGAAGTTTAAGTTTAGCCTATAGCTAAACTTAAACTTCATTTCGTTTAATTTTTCACACAAATGAAAGACTATGACACTCACACATTCTTGATACGTTAAATAGAAAAGAGAAGTATAGTGGTGAAGAACACTTCTAACATTGATAATTATTACTTTTATTTTGACGAATCGAACGTACGAGTATTAATAATAGTGTATAAAAGTTTTCCATCATGGTAAAAAGAATATATACTAACAGTACAGAGTTGTATGATTTATAAGATTTCATTAAAGGCTATTTATAATCAAAAATTTACTAAAATAAGCATTTGCCTGCCTGAATACATATATTACGCATTGAAATTCCAAAATGCAATTATTTGTCATTAGTCATAGTTTTATACTGAGACTTTCGTTAATTTCACCAAAATTTGATTAGTATCATCTTAAGATGATTTGTACAATATTCACGGGATTTTCTTTTGCTCATTCTCGCACTGAAGAAAATTTTCAATAGAGGACATTTTAGAAAAATCGAGCTACCAGTATATAGTACATTTTCATAATTTACAAAGAATTCTCGACTTGTTAAAGCGACAAAAGAAATACTCTATATCGTTAGAAACGTTGTTCTGTTGAGTATTATTCACTGATAGTGTTCAACAAATTAACACAACAAGATGATTGACTTTGAACAACCAAAACTTTAGATAAAATAGACAAACTGAATGTCTTCTGATCATTTTTTCTAATCACATTATGAACGATAAATGTCTGAATATGCTCACATATAGAAACTGCTTATTGCTCATTAGAGAGTAAGTTTGCTTTCAAGGCATATTTACTGAGAGAGAGAGAGAAAAAAAAAAGAGAGAGAGAGACGATCAAAATGAATGAATGAAACATTCTAATTGAATTAACTCTTCATGGTATATCAAGATAAGATTTATATTCATAACCCTCAAATGAAACATATTCTTTTTATTTCATTCGAAACTTCATGATAATGGTCAACATCAATTTCTCTTCTTGTGTTTTTTCATCTGTGTTTTTTCCAAGTATTTACTCTCTCTTTCTATACATCTCTTCATATATGCACAGTATATGTACTTCTTTTTTTTTGACCATTCAAAAGAACTGTTGTCAAATTGAACACGTTGCCGTTAACAGCACGCTATATTCTCTATGTATAGAACTACAGTGGTTATAATTAACATTTTGACAATAACTTGAATAAGAAAGAGAAAGATAGGATCGCATTCGTAGAAACCACATAAAAAAGAGAAAGAAAAAAAAGAAAATATTTGATTGCACTCATACGGAATAGAGATAAGACACGAATTGAACCCTTTCTTATTATTATTAATCAAATTGTGTTAGTTCATCTCGCGTTTTGCTCTTCTTACAGTAGTCTCTCTCTCTCTCTCTCTCTCTCTATTTAAACACACATATGCACTATGATTAGTTGAAAACAGTGGTGAATGACATGAATGAAAAAAATATCTACACAAAACAAATAGCAACAGCTTAAACGCAAATAGCAACAGTTAATCTAGTGATGAAATGTTAATTCATTCAGCAGCTGTACAGACAATATATAGACAATATGTAAAGCAGAGAAAAAGAAAATCGAAATATGTCAAAAATATGATGCAATTTGATTACTGGATGAAATCTTTTCATAATTAGCGCGCCATTATTAGCAGAGATTAATTGAGCTTTTTCTGTTCATTCAGTAGTGTTTCATATGCCTGTTTTTCATTCTATATATATATGCGGAAACTTGACCTGAACAGCGTCATTAAATTCTTATAATATCAAATCTTGTATAAACTACGTCACATTATTGCCAGAAAATAAGGATCAAGCTTTCATAACTGACTTTTTAGGGTACTTATCATCTTTAAACGGTATTGCTTTAGGTTTTGAGCAGTCAAGTCATAGAAATCTCTGGATAGAACGTTTTCAGCTACGTGTAAAGCCTTATCTTTAGTAATTAGTCTCTATATGTGTGCGTGCTTTCATTACTATCTCTATAGTTGTCAATACTTAGAGAGAAAGGAGAGTTTTGCCCTTAAGAATATAATTATTGCTTTCCTTCTTTAGTAAATACAATGGTTTCCGCTTTTTTTCTCTTCTCTGCTTTCTCCATTGTGTCTCTGTCATAGTAGTACTCATAAATAGAAGAAGAAACACACACCGTGTATACATGTAATACAATCCTCTATGAGCGTGCATACAGAATAAAAACCCACTTATGATCTAAATTTCTTTTTTCTGTTATACTTCTGAAGATTTCATTCGTCACTTATAATGTACAAAAATAAGTCATTTATTCTTATTCTTTGTTTATCAGCTGAAAAACATTTTTTTTTGCGACCTCAAGCTGTTTGTATTTAATTTTGTTTCTTTCCACACAAAGAAAGAAAGAGAAAAAGTAGTCATATATAAAAAAACACATTTAGAAATAACACATAGAGAAAGAATAGAAAGAAATTTTTTTTTCGTTCTTTTGTTTCTTCTGTCATAAAAGCATTTATTATTAAAAATGTAATATTATACACAAGAGGCATAGATTGTGTGGTGTGTGGTGGTATTTTTTCATTCATTCAGTCGATGAACTATTCATATTTAATAGAATGCATATGTATTAACCAAAGAAGAGAGAAAAAGGGAAGAGAGCCGATAAAGAAAAAAAATGACATTATCGAGAGTAAATACACTGCGTGTATGTATAGAGGCCTCTGTTTTCTGTTCTTATCACGATTTCTGTTAGAAATACAAAAATCTCATTTATTTTTTTTAATTGTACAATGTCTATGTATGTCAGATGAAAATCTTAATGTGTATATGACACGTCCTGTCCACATATGATTGGTTGAAATAAAATAGAAAAAAAGTCGATTTATGATTGGTTCAATTCTAATCATGCATGAAAAAGTGAGGAAGGAAGAGAAGAAACGAAAGAAGAGAAAAAAAATCTATATATAGCAACAGAAGAGAAAAAAAATAGCCAACACATCATTTCTTATTCATCGAGTCCACAAGATAGACGCATTTTCTCTTCTCAATTTACACAACTCGTTTATACATACGTACACAAAACTTCGTTTTTTTGTAATATTACTATTATTCAAAGAAAATGTCTCCGACTCCAGTGAAAAAAGTTAATTCTCAACGTCGACGACAAGGAAAAAAATCTACAATTAAACGAAGTAAGTTATTCAATAGAGAAGAGTTAACCAATGTTGACGTATAATAGAACAAAAGTTAGAAAATTAGAAAGTCTTTTTTGGTACATATAACGGAATTTCAACGGACAATGTCAAATAATATTTATGAGAGTGTGAGATCAAATATAAAAATTTAGTTAAAAAATGCACTTATTGATGATCAATACACTACTACTACATACTAAGAGGAATAGATAATTTTCATTTGCATACGAATTGAAAATAGTAAAGACTATTGTCTGTTATCACTAGGTCTCTGGTAGCATCTGCTTTCATTAAATTGTAATTTTTACTATGAAAAGTCTTTCCTTATCTTTAATTCTTAACCGTTCTTATTCATTTGCTTGAATATTCTTATCCGTTTTTGTTCGTTGGTGCATTAGCCTTCCAGTCTTTTATAGTAATGGATCCTTATCACAACACAGCAGAAGATTTGCATGACTGTTAAGCACCTATAAATTGGATTTTTTAATGCAATAAAATACACATACCACACTCATACATGACCAACAGAAGAAAAAAAAACACTTTGAAGAAAAAAGAAAAGAATTTTTTTTTGAATTTCAAGCCAAGAAAATAAGGTTAGAATAGAATCAGCTTGTATTTCTGTTTTTCTACTATTGGAGCAAACTGTGTTCAGATTTTTTTTGTTCTTGTTCTATATATAGATATATTCATGTAGTCGAGAACACTACTTCTATTATAGACATGTTCGATATGAACCTTTTTTTTTTCTTCTTCTTCTGTAGATTGTAATAAAAGAAAGATGATGACTAATACGACAATAGCATTGCACATACATCAACAACAACGAGAAACTCCTTGTGCCGTTAAAAATACAAATAGAATATCAAACAAGCGAAAAAATGATGATATGGTCTACATTGAACTTGATACAAAATGTGGGTAAGTAGAAGCAAAATAAAGAAGTGAAATTTTCTTTATGTAAATAAACACGAATAAATGACAAAGAGAAAGATTAATTAAGATAAATATAGAGCAAGAAAATGAGAACCATCTGCAACCAAATAGGTGTTAAAAGGCGTTGTTCATTTTTTTTTTCTCTTGATGAAATTAACAATAGGATTCAATTAGAAAAATGACATATATTTATTGGATTGAACCGTATGTTATTCATAATTTCTAATAATTTATATATTCAGGTAAAATATATCGCATCGCATCGTCCAAACGATTAGAGATTAAAACCGGACATGCAAAATTACTAATAATAATTTTTTTTTCTTTTCTTCTCTGGTTTTTTTCACATGAAAAAAGAAACAGTGCCTTAAGCTATTTCATTACAGTCAGTGGAACATAATTGATTTTAACGGCATGTCGAAAACAGTATTGCTGCACAAACATAATAAAACAATCTTATATAAATTTAGTTTACTAGAATTGAAGCAATTATTTAGTGTAGACGTTTGACTTTGTATACGACTAATCGTGCTAAGAAAGAGATCATTTTACTGAAATCCTGTCGTCTCTCTCGTATTTATTGTTATCGGTCAAAGTTCCTTCATACAATTACATACCGGCTATAGTCGTTCCCCCCTTCCATTAAGCTTTTCTCAAATATATGAAATCGTATACTCATCCATGCGTTGTATTTACCTTCGTTTATAATATATGCAATGTATGTAGAAGAAGAGAAAGAAAATAAGAGTTTTAATACTCATAATTCAACCTATATATACAGTGAAAAGATAGAGCCCATTGAAAAATAGCTCGTTAGTTGCATTATATTGCGTTCAACGATGCGTGCTGTTCAAAAGGATCAGATTTTCTTTTTTCTGAAATACAAGAAAAAAAAAAATGAAAAGACCAATCATTTTGAAATCATAGTCAACTGTTTCTTTTTTTTATCTCTCTGACGTTGTTGCTCAATCAGAACTCAAAATGTTGTTTTTCTTGTCATCACAGTTGTGTCTGTTATTATGTTCTATATCTATCTATCATTAAGTCAAATTATTTATTGTATACACGCAATTCTACCGTTGTGTTATCAGTGAGTTTTTCTCTTCTCTTGGGATCAAATTATTCATTATATATATATATATGAAGATGTTTGTCCGATTTCGGTATTCATTTATCATAAAACGAATGAAATGGAATTGGACACGAATAATTTTTTTTTTTTTTTTATGTCTTCACATATAATGAAAATGCAGTACATATATATCTATCGTTGACAACTGATGGCTTTATTTTTGATGAAATAATACAATGAATTGCTTTTAAACTAATTTGCTATTAAAAGAAAAAGGCACAACGTGACTATAGGATACATACGGAGAAGTTAATCGAAATTGGATTGAAAAAAATGATTTAACAGCTGATAAATTACACATGACTATGAAGAGTTGCTCGTAATAAAATGTGTACATACATTCTGTATTTAATTATTTGTACGAAAAAAACAACAACAACAACAACAACAACAGTATTCTCGGATTGTTATAACTTTGTCTTTTAAGAAGTGTAGTCTAAAATGACGTCCGATAATAACGGATATTGGTTTAAAAGTCGCATATTAGACTTGTTATAAAGTTATATTTTAGTTCTCATTTCATATATTTGTACACGTAGATAGCTGTATGTTACAAAAAAGACAAACTGCTGTCCATTTATAATCGATATTTTTTTATCTCTCACTCTCTCTCTCAAAATTTTTCAATTAAGAATTTCTATCACTTCATGTGTCAGAAACTTTTTTCTGTTGTGTGTTTGAACTAATAAACACAAGATGATTTAAATTATTCATTCTAATGTGTTCTGTTTATTTAGATGTGGTAATACTTGCAATTCAAATATTCAAGTAAGAGAATTTCTCTCTCTAGTGCATAGATATATTTATGTAACATTTTTCTGTTGTTGTTTTTTTTCAGTTTACAAAACGTTATTTAGAATGTAAAAAAACAATGCAAATACGTGTGATTAAAACTTATATACATATGATTCTTCATCATTCAACTAATTCAATTGTAAGCGATGAAGAAGAAAAAAAAAATATGTTGGGAAAAATTAATTTCACATATATATTTTGTTCATTGTAGATCAACATTTATAATGTGTCAAGTACTAAAGACAATAACAATGTAGAGATATTATTGAATGATAACGATGAATTGAAAAATCTATCCTATGGTGTAAGTATACAATAAAATTTATTTTTTAAATTATCGATCGATTGACTATCATTAATCCCACATGAATTAGAATGAGAAAATAATGCTCATTAGTTTACTCTATATTTTAGACACAAACATCTCATCAATTACCTCATATTCAATTAAAATTTACTATTATCAATTTATCAACATTATTTGCCAATTGTCTATGTATTCAAGATAATAAAAATGAATTTTATAATTCTTCTACCATATCATTTCAAGATAAAAAGCATTTTTCACCAACAATTATTGAATCCGCTAAACTTTCATCAATTTTATCCACATATTCCATGTCTTCTATTTCTCCCATTGTCAGTATTACAAATATTATTAAATCACCATCACCATCTATACTTATCGAAAACAAATCGTCATCTTTAGTATCAATTGTTCAATCGTCTTCACTCGAAATTCATTCTTCGTCTGAAAAACGTTTACCATCAATATTAACACCGCCATTATCTCCAACACCATCATCAACAAATAATCTTTCAATTGTTCCATCACAATGTTCATCGTTAAATATTTTAACACCACCAAATGATCGTGAAAGTTCAAAAGAAATACCACAACATTCGGGTTTTATAATTAAAGATATAGAAGATTTTGAAGATGATCATCAATGGGATGTTATTAATGAAGTTGCTCGACGATTTGGTGAACCAATACATATTGATCATTATAATTCATCATTCGAAAAAAATCATTTAAAACATAAAAAAACGAAAAAATCAAAACAATTAAAAACTTCAGCAACTTTAAAACGAATGTTACCAAAACTTTTACCAAAATTACCGTCAAATTATAGTTCATCGTCATCTTTATCTTCGCTTGCTCTACCGTCTCCAATATTATCGTCATCGTTATCAAATTCATCATTTGATGATAGTTGTTGTCCAGTTGATTTAAGTATAAAAAAACGTTTATTCGATGAGAACTCAAATACAACAACAAAATATATTAAAATTTAATTTAAAAGTCAACTTATGTTTTGTATATATAGGCACATATCAAATAGTCGCTACAGTATCATTGTTTTCTTTTTTTTGTTCTTTCATTTTTTGGTTTTTTATTCGTTCCATTCTGTATATAATCAACGTCTTTGTTATTGTCAAAAAAGATATTCTATAAGAGAAGGAGAGAGGGTGCAATAAAACTTAAAATAAATATCGTTCAAAACTGAGATGAACTTCATTCAATATTCTTTCACTTTGAAAGAGAAAAAGACATTAGACGTTCGTTATGTTTCATCAATTCACTCGTTCTATGTTCTCACTATTTATTTCGTCGATAAATGAACCGATCATCATCATAGCATGATTTATTTGCAAGAAAAATGTCCACTTTTCTAGAAGTTCGACTTTGACATACTCTTTGTTAACTTATCAACTTCTAGTTTACAAATAGAATTTTTCAATTTTTCACATATTTTTTAAATAAATTGAAGTGTCCATTTATTTTCTAAAACTAATTTGCTACGCAAATAATTGAATTCTATTATTTTTGAAGAAAAAAAACAGAATATTCATAATATCATGATGAGAAACTATACAGCTGCTTGTTTTTTTCTTAGTAAAGTAGAAAAAAAACCTATGCATACAAATTTTGTATTACTAAGTGTCTAAATAAATGTGAATCTTGATGAATGAGCTCGTTTATGACCAATATATTCGTACACACATACTACGATTGTTTGTATGTTAGATGCTTTTTGTGAAGAAGATAATGACGATAATAAAATGAATAGAATATAGACTATTTTTTTTTTTGTTTTGTTTTTTCTTTCATATATTGATTGATATCGACATCATAAATTAGACTAAAAACTGAAATTAGATAAGTAGAGAATAAGAATAAAATCTGAAATTTATCCATCCGTGTCTCTATTTCATAAATGGCGAACGTTGTAATCAATAGTGCCTTTGGTGATTATTCCACACACACATCGATAGTGTTCATATTCATGCAGTTTCTGACATTTTTGAGTATGATATTTAGCAGACAAATTTCTCTATAATAGATGTCAAGTGTTTGATGCTAGATTATCCAAGAGATAGATTTTTCATCATCATTTCTATGGTGAAAAGTCAATCATTGTATGATAGTTTCTATCTAATGATCAAAGTGTATCACACTAATACTAAACAATCCGATTTTTGAAAAAAAAAAAAAAAGAAAAGAAAAGAATAATGTGTCTATGTGTTTTTCTTTCCTAATAGAAAGAAGCTGCCTGCAGTCATCAATTTACTTGATGTTATTATTATGTTCTCTCTCTACATGTGATATCTTCTTCAAATTGCATAGATACATCACAATTGGACATTGCAAATATGATACTCTATAGAATAAGATGTTTTTGATTATCAACAGATCCTACTACTAAAACGTGTCAGTTGAGTAGTGTGCATACATAACTCATTTTATCAAATATTTCTTCGTTTTTTTTTTTTGTCATTAATTCTATTGTATTACGTGTACATACTCACACACTTAACAAAATATATATCGGTCGACATCAAATATCATATTTCTGCAAGATTAAACATTGAATTAAACTCATTTGTTGTGTTAAGCAAATAATTTATTCGCGTTTTCTTTCCCATATTAAAGATAAGATTATCTCTCAAGTGAAAGCAAGATGTAAATGAATATTCTCATTAATAAACATAACGATCTTTCACTAATTGATTTAAGGAAGAAAAAAAATTTTTTTCATATGGTAACAGCTTCTATAGAGATTTCTTTTTTTTTTAAAAAAGAAAAGTGCTTTTGATTAATAATTACAAAAGAGAGAGAAAAATGAAAGTAACAGATGTTATTGTTGGTGTTAGCGAGGAATAATTTAGAATAAAATGTGTGTGATGAAAACTAATAACAATAAAAATAAAATTTTCACGTTTTAGACAGATTTTAGCGTGTCAAATAAAAACAAAAACAATTTATTTTTGCTTCACACAAAATTTTCAAAAATGTTTTATTTTTTATTCTGCATCGTCTAACTTAACCGATCGACGTCATCAATTTACTTGATACGACAATAAGAGAAATGCTAATAAGTATAGATGCAGTTGTAAAAAGTAGCTAAACGTCTTTAAATATATTGTGGACATTATTCAAATATAATAAATATGATATCATTATTTATCTTCGTATACGAGAGGTCAACAATGGATTTTATCTTATAAGACAATTAAACAGAAAATCGATTTATTTTAGAATAAACCGACAACTTATATAAGACAGGCATGCTTCACTTCAAACTAACGGCGTCTATGCTATGATACGCCTTAAATCAAAAAAGCCGGTACTACATCTTTGAAAATTTCTTTTTTGCTACCATGCCAAGTTAAACTAGAGAAGTTAACGTTTGAATAGGTGCGTTTTGAGGGAAAATAGGTAGTCGTTTCTGTTAAGATTACATTTACAGAATGCAGAAGTTGGACGCTATGAGTTTTAGAATTTAATCATCGCTACTTTGCAGTATTGTTACTACATATGAAAACCGTTTTTTATTTTTGTAGATTGAATATTGAGAAAAAATGTTCAAATTACTAGCACATTATTATTTTTAAGACTAATTCTGACAAGTTTTTCATATGAGATAGAAATAAGTTGAAAAAAAAAAATTTTTTTTATAGACAGATGAAATTTTATGCCTTAAACCTTGAAGCGGATAATAACCTTGAGGGGGATAATAGACATCACTTCTTTCAAATTTAAATCGTGTGATAAACGAAAAATAAAATATATGCCAATGTCGATAAATAGAAAATGTTATATTCAAGAGTATTGTTCATTTGTACAAAGTCTGCTAAAATATCTACATATATTTTCAAAGGAAATAACATTATTATTTTTATTATGAATGTTTACAACATCTGTACAATTACAATAAATATATGATTATTTAAATAATAATAATAATCATAGGAAGTAGAAATAATTATTATCACATTTGTGTAAAATCCACACATTCGTCTATATTACAGTGAAATGGCATGACATGACGAGCTATACGATCTGCCTTCTCTATAGAGTGGAAAGAAAGAAGGAAAGAGGAAGAAGAAGAAAAAAAAACTATATATATATATATATGTAGTGTTACTCATATTACAATGCATGTCGTCATCATCATTCTATTTTTCTTTTTTACTTTTATCGTATAAAGAAAAGAACGAAATACCAACATGAAGAATTAACGAACCAATAAAAATTTTATTGTGTATCGACGTTAAAGAAGCACCAATACTGATTTTTATCAAGTAATAATGATGATGAAAAACACAACGTTATAAATGTGTTATGTCATTTAATTTAAAACAATACTATTATCTTACAATGAGACAAACTTTTTTTCGTTTTTTTTTGTATTTGTAAAAGGAAAATCTGTTGTATATAATCTTTTTATTGATTTGTTTAAAATTAAAACTTTATTACTCAACTGCGATTACTTTGGTCTTACAAAATTTGAAAATAAATGTTCATTTTTGACTCGCATCGTCTTGAATGTACTCAGTTATTTTTTAGCGAATCTTCTGACGTTACATTCTATAAGGCGCTTTGTTTTTATTTATTTCTACTCATTTTTCTATACATATAGATTTCAAGATAATAATTTATTTTCTCGTCTTGTTTAATAAAAATTTTTTTACATCAAAACGAAAAAGTATTTCTAAAGTAATATGAATTATAGGTTAGATTCTGTTTAAATATAGCGTTTATATTCATTCACTCAATGAATACTTTAATTATAAAAGAAAATAAGATCATATGTCTCGAATTTGATGAAACTGTAAATCGATTTACTTCTTGATAAATTAACTAGAAAAACAGCAAAAATGTTACACATTTTGCCTTTTTTATGTCATTTTCTAAGAGAAGAAACAAACATTTCTTGTTTAAACAGGTCTAGAACATCACGTTAGTAATGTTTTCAACATGCTAGAATTTTGAAAATCAAACGTTTCTCTACATACAATTCCTCCTTCCCCGGTGATGTTGAATATATTCCGAATTTTCTTCTCTTTTCAGGTAAAAGATTTCAGTTCAAGAGCAAATTGGACTAGACTTCCGTAGATTTTACATCCATTAAACTGTTTTTATTTCCTATTGTGAAAGAATCTTTTTCCACGAAAAAAAAGCATCGATCATTGCGTACTCAGTACCATCAGTTGTATCTTTCTGACAATTTGCAGTATAACTTTAGAAAAAAAAGTCTCTGAAGAGATTGTAGGTAATACAATGATGAAAATCGGCTTTAATATCTCTCATCATTTCTTCGAAGATTATTTTAACTGCAAAATATTGCTTGTATAACATTACTAATGGAATGAATGTTCATAAAGAGCAACTGTATGTATATTCTAAATTAAAACTATTAAGATCAAAAATACGCACACAAATCTTCTCAGGCTATTTTAATCATTTCTGAATGATTAACTGGCCTTGCGATAGATAATTATATATGAGTATGTGTTTGTGCCTGTCTGTGTATAATGGTCATCATAGAAAAATTAAAAAAAAGATAAACAAAATGATGTGGAATTGATTTTTTACACATATAAAAAGATTTAGATTTACATTTTTACTTTTCAACGTTTACCGAAAATAAAATCGGATGTTGTTGTTATTTTTACAATCGTTATTTCTGTAGCTAATCGCTTTTTTAATCCAATCTACACATATAATAACAAGGAAACAAGGTATTTTAGTTCAAGACAATTCTAACTTTGAGTGATTTGCAAATAAAAAAAAGGTACAAATACCTATCGGACTAGACGCCTAAGATCACAGTGTGTTGTTTGCTAACAATCGTTGAAACGAATCCGATAATGAGTATAGGTCACTGTTGACATAGAACGGTCGATCGTTTCTTCTCTAATTCGAATAAAAACTATTTTGATTTGTATTTAATTCATTGAACAAGCACAAAGATTTTTATTATTATTTTTTTTTTGTTCAATAGCGCTTCTCATTTCGCATTCTGTTTGCCATATAAAAAATAATAAATAATTATTATATACACCATATTCAACTTGAAAGAAGTAGAAATATTGAACACATGGTTATTCTCTCTCTTTTTCTAGCATAGTATGTGTGTGGGTGGGTGTAGATATATGACATTCAGTTTTCACCCGTTCCTGTTCAAAACTATCAAATAAATAATATTTCCTCTATATCTGTCGGACGATCATTCATATATAATCCGCAAGACGTATACATACGACGTGTGGAAGAAGAAACAAACGAATCAACGAATGAATGATCATTGCGACGCTAGACAACAATTGGATGAATTAATGATGATGTAAAAACAGAAAATTAAGAGTTTTACATGTTGATTGAACAATTATTTTGCTATATATAAAAAAAAACTAAAAACCATTACTTTTTTTCTTCTATCGCTGAATATTTAAAATGAACAAAGGTCAAAGAGCTTAGCAGTTTAAACACACACACACATACACGTATATATAACACATACTTGAAAAAAGGTATAAATATATCTATCCATATTGAATAAAAACTGTTTTACAGTAGGGTGATAACTTCTTCAAGTGATCAATCAGCAGCAACAGATGACAAATTTAAACATAGAACTTATTCACACATTCCTTGAACAACAATATAATCAATTGAACAAAAAAAAAAAAGAAGAAACGATCTTGTTACAAAACAAGCAGCAAAAAACGTATGTATTTATATGTAAATACGTAATGAAAAAGAATCAAAACAACCATCGTTTCAAATGGCTTCACAATTGGATTAATGATCAACAATTAGTGAAGGTTTTTTATCCACGAGTTTAAAATATATAAAATAGAAGATTCGTGTAGTAAGTACTTTATAAAAGACCGATAAACACCTCAGTTGATATGAATACATAATCGAAAGTATTTTAGATCGAGTCCGATTTATTATTTGAGAGGACTAATTTTTCGACAGGAATGTCAACTTCAGATGAACACTTACATAAATAAATGTAGAGAAAATATCTTAAAAAAACAACAGTGCGCTTTTTCTATATCCACTTGAATATAAAAGTATTGATATCTTATTATGAAGTTATGAAATTAATTACGTAAGAGTTAGAAGCGATCAATTTAATTATAACTGGTGTATACTATGAAACGAAAAAAAGAGAACAGCAGGCCGAATGAGATATTACATGTGTTTTTTTCTTCTCAAATACATACATATGTCTACTTGAGCTGATTCTTCTCTCTATAGAGAGATATCAATGTATCAAAGTGTCAATCGAATATCTACCTGTAAGTACAGATATGAGATGATACTTACTTACTATGTAACACAATACGAAAAGAAAGGAAAATATAGAGAGATGGGCGTGTTGTATAGTACCTGTTTACTTCATCCTAGATCTAAAAAATCATCATAGCTCCGAACTTTAAAATTTTGTATTCTCACCGGTCATTCAATAAATTAAGGCCTCTTTGACTGGCTAGTTTGTATAAACAGTATAAGCTTTTTATTTCTTTTTTCGTAAAATATTCATAACTTTTGAACCATAGGGGATAAACAGTTCACTGTGATGCTAAACTGTAGTCATGGCTCCCAAATAATTACAGCAGAAATTCAGTATGTTAGCTTTAAATGATTAATTGAAAGACTTTACGATACTTGGTCACTTTTTGAAATTTTAGTAATCTTTTGAAGAGAAAAAAAGTCTAGAAACATTACTTTCACTTCAAACGTTTCACCTAATAACTCTTCAATATCTAGTTTATATTTAAAAAAATACACAATAATGTTATTATCACTGACGCTTATACACCTTTATTGTTTTACAAAAGAAAAATATATGGGCAGGTAGCAGAGAGTCATAGCGTCTCAATCATTTTTACAAAGTTTTATAGTATATTTACTAAAAAGACGTTGAAACAGGTAAAAAAAAGTAAGTATCCAAACTTTATAAACCTATTTTTTTTGTTACCATATGCTCTGTGGTTACATTCTAGCATAATTATAAAGTACATTAAACGCGTAAGAATACAGTAATTTTAGTAAATAAATAGAGTATTCAGGACGTATTAGCATTTAATGACAAAGACAGGAAAGGTTACATCTCATTGATATCTTACGGGTGAGTTAGCCAACGAAACTTTAATTTGTTGGGTGATCAGTGACCATACAAAAGTCAAAGCTGTGACGATGATTTATGAGATTCAGGATACAGAATGATTTTGTGGAGTACTGTATTTTAAAGAGCGTACGATGAAAATAATGTTGCTCTAAAATAGAGCTGTGCAGGGTATGAGTTTTTTGTACCCTGTACCCTACCCTATAGAAATTTCTTATACCCTACCCTATCCTACCCTATTAGCTTTCACACCCTGCCTCACCCTACTCTGTTGACTTCAGACAGTTTGCACCCTACACCTACACATAAGAAAGTAGGAGTAAAATAGGGGTCATTCGTTCAGCGATCGACGTTGTTTTTCTAGCTACAGTTCTATTCAAAAACTCCACATCCACATCCAATAACAACAGGCAGAGGATAACGAAGTCATGCACCACTGAAGGAGCGAATGTCTCTTAATACTAAGCGTTCTTTATCCCACAGGGTACAGTCTATAACAAACGTCTCAACCTGTGCCCTACTCTATAGAAATGTTTCGTACCCTTAACCTACCCTACCCTATAAAGTTTGCACCCTACCCTACCCTAATAGGACAGGGTAGGGTAGGGTCATCCTGTACACCTCTATTCTAAAATAAGTATCTGTGAAAGTGAATAAGCATTAATTGAAAATTTTGATAAAACTTAATTTCAAGTCAATGAATAATACAGAATTGAAATTGTTATCTATATTTTGAGTTGCATCCCGTAAAAAGTTCAGCTTTGAGTCAGATTGTATGTCTCTAGTGCTCGGGATTGATAAAGACAATAGTTTTCTGTATTAAACATCACACGTAAGACGACAATTCGAATAGCGATTGATAGTTTGCAATCAATTCACAGATAAATAATTACCTGTTGACTATGTTCGGACATGTGTAAAAATGTTTTCCATGGCATACACACATGACTATTACGCCATTTATCATATTTTTTTCGCATATCAGGATCACATAAAGTTTCTTTTGCTTCTAACAACAACTGAAATCGTTTCACTAGAAATAAAAATAAAAACAACGATCAATTAAGAAAATGTGCATCCAGTGAGTAATATACATACATGCTTCTGGATCACTCTGATTTTTATCAGGATGACATTGTAACACTTTCAATCGATATTCCGTATTTATTTGGTCAAACTAAAAAATATACGAGAGAGAGTGAGCAAAAAAACTATTATTATTTTTTTCGAATGAAAATTTGTCTAATAAAAAGCCGCTAATTCTATCCCTTATCGATTATTGTTGAAATCATTAACATTCATGTTAAATAAGTCAAAAAAATCTCAATTGTTGAAAACAATATCGTCTAAAGGATAGTTTTACGATTATTTGTTTGACTCCAATTGACTACGTTGTCTGGTTACTAGTAAAAAAAAGTTACTTTTTAGCCAAACAGATAGCGTTAGTGCAATTAGGCAAAGCATAATTGATTTATGCAATTAAGCAGAAAAGAGAAGAAAGATCGTGCTTACAGTTGATAGTTCATCACAGCCAAGTATTTTATAGTAATCTTCATTATCATCATTTTTATAATTGAATATCGAATCCATGCAAGCAGTAAAAGAGCAAGCGTTGTAATTATAATAATAAATCTACAACATGCACACAACAGTTTGTCAAATATTAGTTCATCGTTAAATATTAGTAATAACACTATAGCACACTGCAAAAAAGCAAATTTAAGTGCAAAATAAAAGCTTATTTTTCACACAATCAATTAACTAATGAGGCGGAATTGAAAATTCTTCAATTCGATAGTTTAACGCTCTCAGTAGTATTTAACATGAAATGTAATTTCATCTATAAAAATAAATAGAAATAGGTCGGATTCAAACATAAAAGCATATGCAATTTTGAATTTTGTCTCAAGATCAATCTATCACATTTCAAGTGTAGAAAAAGATAGTTTCAGCTTCGTATTATAGTTTTGCTAGATTGACCTATTCAGTCAAAATATAGTAATAAATTACATGAAAATCCACGCAAAGATGAACAGTCAACATCAACAATAAAAAAACTAAAAATTGATGATGAAGATAGTAGTTTAAACGATGATGTTTAACATCAATGAAAATATGATATTTGTATTTATTCTCTCTTTACGTTGATCATTAGATTGTCTAGGCTTTTAAAGCTTTATAAAATCAATTCCGATCGTTAAAAAGCTCAAACCGTCCCCGACAAAAATAAAATTGCATCATGATAGGGATCATTTCCTGTTCATCTATATTTCATGCTAATCACAAACAAATAAACGGATGTTGAAATAGTTACATTTCCGTTATATAAAATAGCAAGAAAATTTTCAAATCAGGCATTATCATATAGTGTTCAATATGTTAAGTGATTTTATTAATCAATCAAAGTTAAAGATGTTTATGATGTTATAATTTTTTCAAATGTTTTCAATATATTGTGATTAATATCTGACCTGTTTAACGTATATATTTACAATTATTGGTAATTCAAAAATGAGATTGTAACATTTGTTCAATTAAATTATGGTGATCAAACAGATCATCCGATGACAAGATTATCTTATGAATCTCGCAATACTGTAGTAAAATGTACTTTACCAATCATTCAATACAACGACGACATCTAACGTTGGCTTAAACGAATGTTGTAAACAAATGGATTCACTTGATGACTGACAGTTGATTACATTTGAAAAACATCAAATATTTTATCTTAACTTTTGATGTAGAGATAAACGAAAGTAAATGGACACATTTTTAAATAAGATTTGATTTTCATGATCATTTGAATATCACTGTGGGATAATGTTTGAATATCTCTTATTATTCATATTGGATTGCAAACGAAGTTGTCTATCGTTTATTAATTGATTCAATCTAAATATCTGTGTAGGATATTTGAATTTTCAAATACTGTAACAACATCTAAAATAAAGCAAAAAGTAATTAATCTGTATCAAATGAGAAAGAAAGAATAGAGATTTGTATAACAAAGCTGAAAAACAAGTAAAAACATATCATCTGTTAGAACCTTTATGGTTTTCTAATAAAAATTTTGGTCTCTCTAGCTAAAAAAATGCATATTCTGATTCAAAATTCAGATATCAATAAAAGTAAACTATCATTCTCTCATTGCAAAAAGTACTGAGATATATTATTTATAGACAGAATACATTCAATTTCATTCGAAACGAGAGTAAAAAAGAAGGAAACTGACAAGATTTGTTCACACACATGCAAAAAACAAAAAAATTATAAAAGAAAAACGAAATTTTTAATGTGCTATCGTGTAAAAAATAACTATCCGCGCGCACACACACACACACACAACACACAAGCGCAAAGCGAAGCACCTATATATATATATATATATATATGTATGTATAAAAAAACAATTCATGTGAGATACATAGATGTATTCTGTAGATTAAGAGAGAGACAAATAAATAAGATGGAGAAAAAAGGTTGCAGTCACACATACGTAAGAAGCTCAAAATATCTGAATATAGACACACACACCCACGCAAAGCATAAACAAAATATAAAAGTATAGGACAAATATTTAGAAAAAAAAACTGTATGAATATAGTTTTCGAAAACAAAAGTAAGAAGAGAGCACACCGAGTGTAATGAAGACTGAATTCATTTGATTTTTTCTTCTAATCTGAACTGAAGCAAACGATTTTTTGTTTTAAGTATAATCGCGTTATTGATAAATATCATTGCATGGTTAACTGTTACGTTTGATACTTTCTTTTGCAGCACTAATCAACGGTACGAGATTGACAAGTGGTTTGCTAATTTTTAAAAATGGATGCTAAACAGAGAGGGAGAGAGAAAAACAAATAATGAGTGAATTTGAAAGGTTTGAAATGAATAAGATATTACTTGTAATAATTGTGATGCCATTGCACGTTTATCAACATCAACTTCTAAACATTGATCAAGAAAATCTTCGAATAGGGACGATAACTTTTCACGACCAACAATATCTGGTTTTCCATTTGTTGCTATGAGATATAATGCCTAAAAAAATGAGAAATGATAAGCATGGCTTCTAGTAATTCGACTGTACTCGCTTTTCAGATAACATTTTAACTGTAAGGTGTTTACACCATTCACATTATTCAATAATCGAAACATATTACTCACTCTTAATGGAGACTCATTTAAATACGGTGGCTCGCCTTCAATCATTTCAATAGCCATAATTCCCAAACTCCCTATAAAAAGAGATAAATAAATGTAATATCTACAAAAAATTCGGGCTTATCATACTCACATATATCAACTTTTGGTCCATATTGTTTTCTAGTAACAACTTCAGGTGCCATCCTAAAAGAAAAATAATACATATTATCATTTGAGAAGAGTCAAAAGACAAATGAACTCACCAATAGGGTGTGCCAACCATTGTTTGACGTTTAGTTTGATCAGGTGTAATTTGAGCACAAAACCCAAAATCAGTCAATTCTAAAAAAAGAATTTATAATTGTCAATTGTAACTACAACTATTCATAGTGCTAAACGGTTTGGCCACGTAACACGACACTCCGCTGATCAAGATTTAAAAAAAATTTTCATCCAAGAACCGCGATGAGCACATCACTAGATCCAGTTTTTCGGACTGATTCCGAATATGACCTTTTTAAAAAACTAAAATTAAAATTTTAATGCAGGAATTTAAATTTAAAATTTTTAAAAAGTTTATTTTCAACTTTTTGACCTAGAATTTTTTAAAAACTTTGAAAATTTACACCTTTTGATAGAAAATTAAATTATCTACAAAATGGCTCGTTTTGTTTTTCCATTCGGCTGTAGGAACAAAAACTAAACCTTTTTCGGAAGTTCAGGGTTTCAGGCAAGCTTAAAAGCGAAAAGAAGTCCTTTTAGCTTTAATATCCATATAAAACGATAGAATATCCTCAAATTTCTGGCAAATAAAAAAACCAAGTCGTTTAGAGGTCATGAGGTACCTCAAAACTCACTGCCAAAGGATATGTCACGTTGTTAAAAAAATGTCATGTCGTTACTTTTTCAAAATCAGTTTTTTATTCTTGCGGGAAACTTCTGGAAAATTTTTTTTTACTGTTGTATAGACCGAACAGTTAGCTACAAGTTTGCTTTGAACGACTTTCCTCCAACTCTTGCAGTTTCATCACAAAATGTAGATTTATCCGCCTGAGTAAAACAGGAGACATGTATTTTGTCATGGTGTTACGGTCCAAAAATTTAGTCCCCAGCCGCCATTTTGCAATCAAATCTTTCCATTTTCTTAGTGTAAGTAGGGGATTGTAAGACGTACAAAATAAGGCTAGCGCGGCTTTTCTGACACGCATAGTTCTTGAGAAATTTGAGAATTACTGTGTAAAAGATGTCATGCCCTTACGTTGGACCAAACCGTAAAGTTAGTTGTTCTCACAAATTCTTTATACAAGTTTCATTTTTAGTACTCACTGACATTCCCCTCCATTCCCAACAAAATGTTGTCGCTTTTAATATCTCGATGAATCACTTGATTTTTATGTAAAAATTCTAATGCTTGCAATACCTAAATAAAGAAGTTAATTTCATGCATCTAATGTACTTGAAGACATGCTTAATTACTTCTCGACAAACAGCTGCAATATGTCCTTCCTCCATAATTGTCTCTGTCACAACATCTGTTAACGAACCACCAGGTAAATATTCCATTACAACCTAGATAAAAGAAAACAGAAAAGGTCTTAAAACAGCTCTAAACGATTTCTGTGCCTGCATTAGTTTTTACCCATAGTTCTTCTCCGACAAGGTAACTATCTTTATAATTGACTATGTTTGGATGCTTATTAAGTTTCATAACCATTATTTCGTTGATAATCAGTTCTTTTTTCGGTTGACTAGCTAAATTCATTTGTTTAATAGCCACTTCTTCACCAGTTGATAATTCAATGGCTATATACACTGTACCACTCGCCCTAGAAAAACAAAAAAGAATGATTATATAGCCATGTATTATGATTATCTTCCATCCGCCTATCAACCATTATGTTAAGTTATAACAATTGTATGAGAACTGCAAAGAAATCTCTAAACAAAAACATTGTATTATCGTCTCACTAACCCTTGTCCAATTTTCTCTGTTTTTTGATATTTTGTATGTGGATTTCCAAGTGAAACTATTGTTCGTAATTTTGTAAAAATTTCTTCATCTGTCAATTGTTTTCGTTTTCCTTTCTCAGCTGCTGTTGTTCCATTATTCGTTGTTGTTCTCATAACACCCGTTGAATTAGCAGGTGGTTGTTGTTTTTGACTAACATTTTCTTCGTATACTGGTCGTGTATACTAGAACAAACAAATAAAGTAAGAGACTGTTATATATCTAGTCACGTCCAATTACAATGCTTTTTGTTTTCTCAGGTCGAGCGGTTATCGGTGGTGGTAAGTCGTCATCTTCTGTTTGTGAGCGAGAAATACTTCTAGTTGAATCATCCAAACTCTAAAGAATGAAAAAAGTAAATAGACAGTGAGAAAAATATACTCTGAAGTGTAACTAAAATTGATTTCTCTATTAAACTACACCATATAGCTCAACATCTGATATAAAATCTATAATCGGGAGACAGTTGTAACACAAAAAATTAACTGAATTTCTTTCAGAATTTCGTTTCAGAAATTGTTCTCGTGAATTTATACAAGATAAAGAACCATCATTTACCGACGTTTTTGACTCAACGAGTATGACAGTTTGTCTAATTTTATCAGCTATATAACCGGATGTTGGTGGAGTTAAGTCTAAAGATATTTTAAGAAGAAACAAATAGCTTTTACAGACAAATAATTAAAAGAGAAATCCGTACTTTTGTAAGATGAATACATGAACTTTGATTCTCGTTTATTATGTTGTGCTTGATAAAAATCAAGTGCATCAATGACAGCTTGTGGATTTTGTTTTTGTTCTTGTTTTGTTATTTTAGAATTTTGTAACAATGATGACCATAATTCAGGCATGCCCTAAAACCGAAAAATCGCATACGCTCTAGTTTGATTCATCTTAATTTTAAGTCAATACACTTTCAGAATCATTTGTCAGACATGACAAACCGACTAAAAAATGCATACAACAATACTTACATCAAATTCTCCTGTCAATGGATTATCTAAAATAAAGAAATACTTCGTAAATTAGTCTGTGATGATTTTAGGAACGTAATAGTATCAATAACTTACATGTGACATGAATTGGATGATTAAAATTTGTTGGTCTTGATATAATTAATTTAGACGGATCTTTCTTTGTCCAATCTACAGGGGAATAACAAATAAACATTCATAAACGCTACTAATAGATGAACAACTAAATCATACCTTTATTAGTCTTTTTTTTCTTTCCATCATCATCAGGAACTTTTGGTAATGGTTTCATACCTAAACTTGATGTTGAACTAAAATTAAGAGAGTAACTGTATTACCTTGTAGATTCAAGGGTGTTGAAAGTCAGGCTTACCTATTTATACTATCAACACGAACAGGTGGTGGAGGAGGACGCTGTTCATCCATAGTAGACATTAACTTATCTACGATAGAGCAAATCATTTATTATTGTCTCAATCTTTCAGTTTATCTCCTGTATAAGGATCTATGTTTACAGAAATAGTCTGCTAAAAGCATCAAATTTTTGGCTGTCTAAACCAAATATCTACGTTTTATTAGGTAACAACACAAGAGATCAAGTGGATAATGCGAATTTGTGCGAGTCTTCTAAGGAAAAACATTTATTTTTTCTGAAGATTTGAGAGATACCTTAACAGCAAAATTTATTGATAACAGATTAAGATCAATTTTTTTGTGTCAGCCATTTTCTTTTACCCTTATCAGATGTTTCATTTGCGAAGAAATACAGAACAAATGAATCATTCCAATCAAAAATCAGAGAGATAACTAGCCGGTCAAAATATTCTACAACTAAAATTTCTGGAAATAGTCACTATCGTCAACGTGAAACTAACAGAAAGTAGCGCTTGGTTCCAGAAATTTTAGTTGTAGAATATCTCGATCTAACTACTCGGCATTCATATCATACTGCTAAGTTTTGCTGTCGGTTATATATAAATAACGTTTCTGAAGTCAATATCTCTACGAACATTTGCTGATTCTTTTGTCCAACAAAAACAAGTCTATAGCGTCGTTTCAATTCTAAGTTCATTACTACACTATCATCTGGGTATAATTCAAGTCTGTTCAGCAAATATAGAAATGAATAGAAGACGGAAAATGGCAGCAGTGAGAGATCGATGTACTGTTTGGTGCTAGGTATTCATATCATCTAGCGTGAATAGGGCGACACTTGATATTCCACCGTACAATCTATCAAATGTGGTTGCTTCAGAGAAATAAATTTTCTAATGATTTATATCAGCATTGATTTTCTAGTGAGAATTTTCGTTAGTACCTTGGAATGAGTTTAGTGAAAACAACAGGAAGTAAGACAACATTTTTGAGAGAAAAACTGGTCAACATGCATTCAGTAATGCGACATACTACTAAATTTTAATGATAGGCCGAATAAAATTCCTAGAGATAAGTTATTAACTAGAATTTTTTTTCTATGCAGGAAGAATGTAGGCATCGCAGAAAAGTGGTGTTGATCTTGTTTTGTGGAGAATTTTTTGCTCTACAAGAGCATGTGTTCAACAAGATTCTAGATATAAGATTTAAAGTCGAAAATTTTGCAATTTTAAAATTAAGTCATCGAAAATTAAAAATATTTAAAATGAAGTCTCATATTATACTTTTTGGAACAAAAAATTTGTTCAGTTTTTCACGTTCTTTCCGATGATATACTTGGTGTTGAATTTGAAACATTTTTTACGTTGATTTAAACTTTATTTATTTGAAACCATATCATCACGCCATTTAGTGACAAAGCACTCATTATTGGCACAAATTATGAATTGCAATACACAATTACAGTTCAAGATGGAGAGTAAAAGAAAAAATTGAATAAAAATTATAATGATAACCAGAAGCAGAAGAAACGTTTAGTAAAAAGAGAATATGATGGTATAAATTCGGTATGGAAGAAAGTGAGGAAGGATCAGTTGACTTATTGAAATCTTTCTGTTTGTTCGATAAAGAGATTCACACTCTCAAATATCACTTGCTGTGCGTTCATACCGAAAGTGGAAACATTTAGTAGTAAAATGTTTGCTGTCAACTTTTTAATGAAATTTAAAGAGAAAGTTCTTTACTGTACTGATCGTAGAATGAACAGTGAAGAAGGTAATGATCAGTTGATTCAGCTTCCCATCCGCATGTACACACTGAAGATTAATTAAGTTGAGGAAAGTTTGCTTGCAGATGCATAAATATTACTTCTGCCTGTCTAAAACGTAAATTGCTTAGAAACGGCAGTTGAGGATCGATTACCGAGTATTTGTTCAGGCATTTTTGAATTCTCGCGATCATTACCAATTAGTTTCTGGTGTTACTTGCCCCCAATCTAATCCCACTTGTCTAGATTTGGCAATTTCTAATATATTGTCTTTTGTCATTTCACCGCCATATACCCTGGTCTTGATCGTAGTGACATAGTTTTTCAGATATTCAGAGTGAATTGTATAGGGTGTCCAGTAATCTGCAAAGATTTTTCAATAGGATTGTGTTGCTTTTTTCTCATGGGCTGATAGTTCGGAGTATCCTCTCCAAAATGGGAGTAAAGTGAGACCTTGATTTTCCGTGGTTCGGGCGTTGTATCGGATTCCCTACGAGTCCCAGGACCGACACCCGGCAACTATTGGCAGCCTTAAAGACTGATGAACTATGGGTAATCGACCATGCTGAGTTTTGTGGCAATATTTATTTTTAGAAAAAGTTCTAAAAGTCTACCGAAAAGCCAGTTTTACGAAAATTCGGATTTCCAGGCTGTTTTCACCAAATATTAAAAAATTCACTATTCACTCAAAAAACATCAGAACGAGTTCAAAACTTCAGAATGTAGAGTATTTAAGCTATTCTATATCCTATTCATAGGAGATCTCGAGATCTCAAAACAAATTTTACAGAACCCTCAGGTTTTTCAAAAGGGTTTCTGGAAAACCTATTAAACAAAAAAATGTTTTTCGATTTTTTTGATCTTATAATCACGTTTAGCGGACAACATTAATCGTATCTTGAGATTTTGAGCTTGTTCTGATGTTTTTTGAGTGAATAGTGAATTTTTTAATATTAGTTGAAAACAGCCTGGAAACCCTAATTT